AGAGCGAGAGGCAGAAAAAAGAAGCATTAAAAGTTCTTACACTATAAAATCAGCCCCTACATAGTCAGAATTGTCCTGTATTTTCATGTCACCCTTGTCACAACCCATTGTGTTTTCTTTATACAGGTAGCTTTGCTTACCTTAGCACAAATATCAAAGTCAAGTACAAGCATATACTCATTTGCATAGCAAATTTTAAAGGGTGCATTGAAACAGTAACCAATTGATAAAGGTAAAAGTCATTTTTATAATTAGAATGACATTCAAATTGACCAAATAAAACGTTTTCTATTTGAAAACAGTTACCTACAAAAGTTTTTGGGATATGAACAACACATGACTTAGCAAAACATTAAAACCGTTACTGATGTAGTTCTCCATAGGCAGCAGTTCATGTAGCAGTCATTCTTTTACAACTTCTAGGACTTTGTAAACACTGTTCTGGAATACAGTGGTGAAGTGAGGTTTGGAATCCTTCACCAAGAGGTTACATAAGGGAGTTTTCCCAGCATTGGCAGGATCTTCTACATCCCAAATTTCAGGCATACTGCAACCAGGCCTAGAAAAATGAATGTACACATTAAAAATCAATGTGCGTTATATAACTGCAGATAAAGCAGGGCACTTCTTATATTCCTGACCTCGTTTCCTTTTTTCCACTTAAATTACCTTAGTTTTTAAACAATCCTGTCATATAGCTATTTTAAGTTTTTATAAGCTGCCATGACTCACTTTAGGACAAGGTGAATGCAGCAAAGGTGACTATAAGGAAAGACACAGACCTGCAGATACATATATCCAGGTGTTGGGGAAAGAGACACCTCAGTTAAACTCTGCCGCAGCTACTTACCAAGAATGTGGTTCTGGGCAGGTAGCTTCCCTTGGTCTTAGTTTTCACATTTGTAAAATGAGGAAATAAACACCCATGACATAGGTTTGTTGTGAGGATTATGAGAGATCAGGTATCTAGCGCCATGCCCAGCACACAGAAAACTGTGTAACATTGATTTAAAAAATTATAATGAACAAATATGCTTAGTTCACAGGGAAGCTGCATTAATTGTACAGATGCTCCTCAACTTAGAATGGGGTATGTTCCAATACACCCATCATAATAAGCTGACAATGCATTTAATACACCTAATCTATCCAGCATCACAGCTTAGCCGAGCCACCTGAAATGTGCTAGGAACACTTGTATTAGCTGACAGCTGGACAAAATCATCTAATGCAAATACTATTTCATGACGAAATGCTGAATATCTCATGTAATTTACTGAATGCTGTACTGAAATTGAAAAACAGATGGTGGTATGGGTATTTGAAGTGTGCTTTCTACTGAATGCACATGGCCTTAACACTGTCACAGTCAAAAAAATCAGTAGGTCAAACCATCTTAAACTGGACAGTCGATATTCTAGAATGAATCAATTTAAAGAAATTCTGGTAGTTGAGCATACATCTTAAACACATAATTAAATCTCAAAAGCAATATATCTTTATAAAGAAGAAAATAAGTAAAATTGGCATCATATGACATTTGCCTAAATAAGTTCTTCAAAATAACAGTATCATTTATTTTAAATCAATAATAGTTTTATAGATATAACTGTTGGATACTGTTATCTACCTTTTGAGGAATTTTAGAAAACAGAAAAACATACTGGAAAATTATAGACAATTGACAAGTTTTGTCAATTTTGTCATAATTGCTTCCTCAAGTTTTGTCATAATTGCTTCCCTTTTTATTTTTATTTTTAAATAAGAAAAAAAAAAATCCCAACAAGTCCCTCTTAGGTTTAGTAGCAGTCCCTCCCTCACTCTCCACCATGAGGCAAACACCGCAGCAGGGATGTACATCATTTTCCCTTTTTAAATAACATCTTTAATTTATAATAGTCATTATAAAAGTATCAAAATATAGACCTATATATATTTTAAAAAATGAAAGTCACCATCATCTCCAATAGCATTTCTCAGAGGTGACTTCTATAAATAATCCAGCATATATTCTGCTGGACCTTTTTTAAAAAAAAAAAAAATTATTTCAATAGCTTTTGGGAAACAGGTGGCTTTTGGTTACATGGATAAGTTCTTCAGTGGCAGCTACTGAGATTTTGGTGCACCCATCACCAGAGCAGTGTCAAGTGTACCCAATGTGTAGTCTTTTATCCCTAACCCCACCCCTTGCTTCCCCCGAGTCCCCACAGTCCATGGCATTTTTATGCTTCGCATCCTGGTAGCTTAGTTCCCACTTATAAGTGAGAACATACAGTATTTGGTATCTGCTGGATCTTTGGTTATCCAATGTCAGATACACATACAGACACGGATATCATTATATACACAGATGCTGTGATGGTCAGTATTAAGTATCAACTTGATTGCAATGAAGGATGCAAAGTATTGTTTCTGGGTGTGTCTGTGAGGGTGTTGCCAAGGGAGATTAACATTTGAGTCAGTGGACTGGGAGAGGGCGACCCACCCTCAATCTGTGTGGGTACCATCTAATCAGCTGCCAGTAAGCTAGAATAAA